TCTCCGTTAGAATTCTGATCAGGCATTAGCTCCGCCTCCTCTCTTTTTTTTTTCAAGCTAAGGACCCAAAATCCGCGTTTCTCTAACAGGGCTGCAAAAGAGGGGTATGAGCAGTATGAGGCATAGCTACAATGGGTGAACTGTTTAGTATTTTAAGCAAAAAACTTCAAAGACATGTTTTGTATAGGTGACCTATCATGCAAAATGCACCTTTGTACATCTTTTATACATGAATATGTGTCCCCGGTGTTCCAGGGAATTCACCAAGTGTCAGAAAACACAACCCTCTCTATTTTCCTCCATACCCAAGTCTCTTAAAAAGGGGCTGCAATGGATCTGATACAGACTGATCCAGATTTGAACACTTCTATGACGTCACAGAAGTGTCGCTACGGCTATTGGGCCAACTCCACCAATCAGGAGGAGATAGCCACGGACATTGCCGTTCGAAAGCGCTAGAGACGCTGTAGTACATATGCCAGGTCTGTAGATGGTGCTCTTCTCACAGAATCAGCCATGAAAAGACAGTGTTAAATTGAGCGAAATGAGGAATGGCTAAAATGCATGATCTGTTTGGTATTTTGAAAAATAAAAAGTATAAATATGCCTTATATAGGTATGGTCCTACACTATATTATTCAAATATAGCATGATAGGTCCACTTTAAGTTTCACTTGGGATTGCATGATATAGCCCAGCGCAACACCCTCGTCAAATATGTTGCCACTTGTTTGTACTATTTTCAGGCGATTTGTAATCTGTTCAAGAAAAAGGATGTGTTTTGGGATATTTGGGGAGTTAAGTGGACCGCGAGTGTTTTTTTTATTGGTTAAGTGGTCCTTGGTATGAAAAAGTTTGAGAAACACTGTACTAGATGACTACATTTGTATGTAATATTTGCAATTTAAAAATGTAATAAATATATTACCCCATAATATCATCAAAACTAACTTCACTTTGTGTAGTCCACAGGCTCAAATGTGTGGCTTTATTTGTCTTGTGCTTTGGGCTCAAATGTGTGATCCAGTCTTCTAGAAATCATCTGTGCATGTGATGGAGGAATGCACAGTGCCTTTAGGGGGTGTGGTCTCAATAGCCATGCAGTAAGCCGTGTGCTATGTGTGATTGAGGAATGGCATGGATATTCAAGTGTACTTGAATGGCATGTTTGTTTTAGTCAAGATTATGCTCAAATATACTTCCTCCAACTATATTTAAGTTCCCTATGAAGAGCCAACCTTCAATTTAGAAAATTCCCAGTTTATTCCCATAAATTCCCGTTAATTCCCATGGAAAGTTTCCATCTTTGAAAATTCCCGGAATTTTGCAACCCTAGTAAAGAGCCAATTGAGTATTATCTGCTTCTTAGGTAGGTTGATAGCAGATTACATTCTGTTCCTTCGAACTGAATTTCAATCATGTTACATTTTAAAAACAGGCCATTTGATTATTTACAGACTTTCTATAGCATTTAAAAGTATTTGCCTTTAATTAGAAAACATGCTGCAAAGTAATCACAGGAAATTATAAACCTTTATTGGGGATGTTCATCACAGCTGTCAGTATTCTCCTTGACTATCCATCGTTAGTTAATAAACTATACAGTAGATTGTGTAGGAATGGTAAAGGCTAAAACAGCTTGTTACTTTGAAGTCATTCAAATGTTTGTCAGAGTACATCTGTAGAAGCCACAACTTTTACTTTTATTTTTAGAATGTAAAAATATTAACATTCATCATCTCCAGACAGACACGTTAACAAGCCGGTCACTGCCATTGCTTCCCTTTCACTGACCCAACTCTGAAATGCAGATTTAATTTGCAAAAGGACAGAAAATGTGCTGGAAGATGAATCTACTTTAAGCCACTCTTGGAAACCGGCACCAGTAAAAGTGAAGCTGACGATCGGTGTCTTGAACACGGTGTGTAAATTGTGAAACCAGCGGACAGAAATATTTCTCATCCTGTCCTGATGTAGACCCTTAATGAAAAGCAGTCCTTAAAATATGTTTCCATCAGGTTGTTACTTTCCAACTCTCAGTCTCTCCCAAAAATACAGTATAACAAATCAGCACGTGAAACGCTAAAAAAAACATAACAAAAATCATCCATTCCCCATCAGTAGGTGGTGCTCGTCCCAAAACAGAAGCAATACAAAAAAACACCTCTGACAAATCATAATCCAATTGGACTCTACTTAAAACCAGCATTATTTTTTTCAACCACTTTTGACCCTCTTCTCTCTCCGTCTCACTCGTACTCAGCGATCAGCACCATCATGCCCACTCCGAACAGCAGGGCCAGGATCTCCATCAGAGACTGGCCGAAACTGGTGCGGCCCGCTAGCAGTTCTGGGAGCACGGTCACCGTGGCGATGTAAACAAATCCGCCGGCAGTGAACGGCAGGATCCAGGCGGTCGCCGCAGCGCCCACGCCCTCAGCCAATAGGGAGCAAGATGTGCCGGCCAGAGCTCCCAGAGCCGTCAGCAGCTGTAGACACATGGCCTGATGGGAAAGAAGAAGAGGATGATTCAAGTCTTATGAGTCTCCATAACTACAACACAATTGCTTTTTTTTCTTCAAAATCTCTTATACAAATTAAGTTTGATTAAAACGTTTATTTTCAAATCAATTTGCATAGAAACTGAAAACATTTAATCTGTAATTACACACCAATTATCGTTTAAAGGCCCTACAAATTTCAATTTGCTGCCGGCCCTTTATTTTAAGGGGGGATCACTGTGATATTTCACAAAGTCAAATGTATTATATAAATCTATATTTAGCAAAGTCCATTTATTTGATGACTGGGTCTACAGAAGACTGGGCCAATAGACTTCCTTTAGGATCCTGCCTATTGTCTGTGTTGGACAAGAAGAAGCTGCAGCTTGAGTTATCAGCTACCTTTTTTTTGGTGCAGCCGGACTGAACAAGGATGGCAAAGTCTCCGATCTCATGTGGGACCTCGTGAAGCAGGATGGTGAGGGTGGTGACGGCGCCCACCGCAGGACTGACGAGGAACGACGCTCCGATGGCCAGGCCGTCAGTGAAGTTATGTGTGAAGTCAGCTGCAAGGTTCAGGTAACCCGACACCTTGATGTCTGTTAGTGGAGACAATAAAGAAGAAATGAGGATTAGAACACACTGTTTCCAGTCTCCAACTACAAACACGATGTCAGGGAGCATTTCTGTGGCCCTCTGTTAGATGGAGGACACGTTATTCACATACATGTGGCATCAATTATGTCAGCAGCACATACCAGTGCTAATATGACTAACTGAAGTTATGCCAAAAGAAGATTAAGTTTCTGTTTCTAGATTTTTCAACCCTACAGGCAAATTCAAAGCTTATGATACTTATGGCGCATTTACACTGCAGGCCTCGCTCGGCCTCGCTCGGTTTGGTTAGGCCTTATTAGGCCCGGCTCACTTTAATGCTGCGCTCACATTACAGTTTAGGAACTGGGGTAGTTACTATAGTAACGCAGTGTAGGCGGAGCCATGACGTCGTCTTCAATGAGCGCCCCAGTAAAACAACACAGCCGTTAGCTCTTAGCACTCAGAGCTCACAGCTCTTCATATCTGTTCAGAAACTAGACAAAAGTTAAACAAGTACAAACCACAGACTGTCTGTGTCATGGCGAATACAGTCGCTGGTTTATTTATGTCAATCTCCTTCTCTCTAATCATCAGCTTTCGTAGCTCCAGCTGAAGCTGAAGCTCGCTCATTGTCGGAGCGACCTCTGTTTCCTCGTCTTTGGATGAANAACCAACACCCGCTTCCTCCGACAACACTTCCTGTTCTATGAGTGCAGCCAACAGCTGTTCCTTAATTACCTGCTTCCTGCTCTGTTTACTCATTTGAATTTCAAACCTGCCTGCGACTAACTCAAGTTGTTGCTTACTACATGCATCCAACTTCCCCCGCGTTGGACCAGCAACAAACCCTTCTAAATCAAAATCCATAACGCAATACTTAAATTTAAACTTCCCCCCAAAAAAACAACAACAACACTGATACCAGTTAGGCTACCACACAAGCAGCTCTACACTGTATACAAACAACATTAAAAAAAAAACATAACTGTCAAGGTGCACAAGAAGCACTATCCACCTGCCCGAGACAGCGTTAGGACGAGCCCCCATATGTTACGACCCAGCCCTCTACTTAATGGTAGAGACTCGTTGGGGAGAACCGCAACATAGAAAACAACACAACAAACACGCAGCATTTAACGGTGTTCATTTATTGATACCTCCGTACTTACATGGCCAACCGGCAAATGAACAATGCGCTGGAGGACAGGAAAACAAACAAAAGGACAAAGGGGGCCTGGGCCAGCCACACCACGGGCCGTAGGACCCAGCGCTTCCCTCCGCTACCCAAAAACCTAACAAGTCCCTACGGGAGAAAACAAAGCTGCGAAAAAACCTAAACTACCTGTTCCTCCAGTTTACATAAGATATAGACACTTGGGAATCTACAGATCCTGAAGTAGAAGAAGGAGGACACCACGGAAAACCTCATCCGGCGTTAAGATTGGGGAAGAGAGCTCTTCTCCTCCAGCTTCTGCTTTTCAAGTCCCCAGCTGAACGTAATTGGGACACCTGGGGGAGGCGGAGCCAGGGGCGGACCAGGTGTGTCTGTGCAGCAGGGAGACAGAGAGAGACAAACAGGAGGGGAGCACGTAACAAGGCCGTTGTTGTGAGTGTGGACGGTCGGAGCATATATAACGTTAGCTTAGCCAAGCTCCATTTAGAAAACACGCATTTAAAAAAGGGTTTTTCGCCTGCCGTCTGTCTGCAGACTTGTCAAAGCCTTAATTCATGGTTTTTACTAACCGGTATCAGTATGTTGTTACTTCGGCATCATTTTGAAAAGTGTATTACAATTAAATCACGGTCAAATATGTTCATCTTGTTGTAGTTGTAGCCCCCTTGCCAGCGATTCTCTCTCTAGTTTAGCATACTCAGCCCGACTCAGCCTGGTTGTTCCTGGCCCTAGAACCACGATTTTATGGGGCCAGAAAAACTGTGAAAAAGTACCCCCGGGCCGGAACTAGGCCAAGTGTAAGCGCAACCAAAAACAGGCCCCGCACGGCTCGGCACGCTTAAAGCGAGCTCCGCGCTGTAGTGTGAATGCGCCAATAGATGACTGACGGTTTCATAAAAGCCAACGTGTGTTTGCAGCCCCAGAAAACGTGACTTGGCCACGCCTGAAACCACTCCCTCATCTACTAAACTGGAATAACCCCATCACAGCTGTTTACCTCCGCCTGCTGGTGAGGCCGCAGTTTGCATCCATGTCTGTACTATCCTAGGAAGTTGGCCAAAACCCAGTTTTGTGAGGTCACAGTGACCTTGACCTTTAACCACCAAAATCAAATCAGTTCTTGCTTGAGAATAAAATGAAATACAAAAAATTCTCTCAAGGTGTTCCTGAGATAACACTTTCAGGACATTGGAGAAATAAAAACTGTCTTTGCATTAAATAACCCATCTCTTACCCTTAGGTACATTTCACATTTTTATTCCACACTAGAAAAAGGTAGTACCTATACGTAGGACTAAACTTTTTAATTAAACGACGAAAGGAAACTATAACGCATAATCACTCCTCATCTCAGACATGGTAGTGTCTGACCAGCAGAAGGTGCTAGTGTTCATGGTTCATAAGTACATCTGGAAAAATCTACATTTTATCCACCTGTGCTCTTTGGCTCCTCTTTCTTTGACACCGCTTTGTCTTTGCTTTTTTTCCCCTCTTTCTTCTTTCCTTCCTTTTCATCTTCCCCATCGCTGTCCTTTTCCTTGGGAGCATCTGGGAATGTTACAAGAGTGTACAAATTAGCCTCAGATCCCAGATTGAATATTACAATACTAGGTAAAGAGGCTTTAGATTTCTAAAGCCATTTGGGCTAATTATCTGGACACACTGTACACAAATAATGCAAATAGATAATAAAGTGTGAAACACTGCAATCTTTAGCATGATCAGACTAAGAAAAGTCCTGCATATGAATATTTGATATATAACAATGAGTGTGTTACATCGGCGTACCATGTGAGTGGCCGTGGGAATGACTGTGGCCTCCCTTCAGTGCCCGCACAAACTTCTCCACAACCAGGAAGGCTATGATCCCACCGAGAACCCACAGACCCACGGACATCGTGTGACCGTGGGCAGCCCCTGTGCAGGAAGAGGACAGGAAACACAGGTTAGAACTGTGACGCATGAACAGAGTCTGAAACGTACTGACGTCCCATGTTAATCCTGCTCATTACAATACACTGCTGACAGTACATGTCACCATCTATAGAGTCAAAATAGGGTATTCTTTTGGCTTCTGTACATTTATTTTTTACGTATTTCCACACCTGGGATCATCTGAGGACATACACTCAGAGAATAGGCAGTAATTGCGTACCGTGGGAGTGGCCGTGGTCCTGTGACTCTTCACTTGCATGCGAGTGTCCGTGATCTTCTTCTCCATGGTGAGAGTGGGGCTCTGTGCACACAAGAAGAGACATCAACATAAAAACAGACAAGCGGAGGATCCTGCTACAATGTCTGGGTTTTCAATGAGCATTTGATCATTGCCGTCATTAGCTCACTGACAATATTGTTTCTTTATGTCTGTGTTAAGTTTGCAGAAGTGTTGTGGCTATCCATGGTTGGGATGCTGAAGTATCGATAGGGAGTGAAAGTGAGCTACGAGATCAGAGAGAAAAGTAAACATGAGCTGTGAGAAAAAAAGTCACCGGGTATTTAAAATCCCCTGCGTCCCTGTTAGTCATTAGTTTGGTTCCACACTCTCTTTTATTTGAACAAAACCTCCCTGCATTAGCCCTCTTATAACACCAGGCATGTTTTACATCACAAATGCACCTGAACACACCTCTTGACACAATTAAGCCAACAGGAGAGTATAATAAAAGTCAGTAACAATTGAGCCGACTTCTGGGGATCACTACCTACCCAAAGCGTGTGGTATGAGGTGGAGGAAGGCGTCACCCAGCAGTCCGCCTGAGGCGAAGCTGAGCAGCACCTTGAGCAGGTTCTGGTGCTGGTCGCTGTTGGACTGAACTGGAATCAGGAACAGGATGAGGAAAGGGGCCGCACTGATCAGCAGGGTCGCTCCGATAGCCTGCGGACAGGGATGAGAGATTTATTCTGCATTAGCGTGAAACTGTGAATTAACCACAATGCGACACGAGAAAACCGGAGTTAGAGGGGGAAAGGAGCAGAACGGTGATCTGTAGTGATGGCAGTTTGACACTGAAGCTTCGAACGGAGCTTCAACCCTGGACTTCCTATTCCATAGAAGCAGTGCTTCGAAGCTTGCTTCAAATCACGTGACATGTGACGTCCGAAGCAGCAACTGCTTCAAATCACGTGAAATGTGACGTCCGAACCAGCACCTGCTTCATTTCCTGAATGAATCAACTCACTGGTTCGCCGTCCAATCAGGTGATTCAATGCACTGCCTCGTCTCGATTCTGACAGGTGACAGGTTGAAACAGTTTCAAATTTGAGCGCTTCAACACTTTATAGCCGCTCTAATCAATGCGTAATGTGTGGGTTCTTGTCGTAGTTTGCATTGTTGCTGTTGAGTTGTTGTTGGCATTGCATTTGAATTGGATCATTATAGAGCAAGCCAGGAAGAAAAATAGGTCGTTCTGGCTCGTGAAACACTTCGAAATGTGGAGAAGTTGTGAACAAAAAGACAATGAGTAATATAAAAACACTTCATTAGTTTAGGGAATAGATAGCCCAGTGGATAGAGCCGGCGGCTAGGATGCGGCGATATCCTCTGCGCAGCCTATCTATTCCCTAAACTAATGAAGTGTTTTTATATTACTCATTGTCTTTNAATAGTGGCTCTGGAGCAGCCTTCCTCGACATTGAGAAACACCCTGGCCGTTTCTCAATCGCGAGGATGCTTGCTTGGTAGCACATGTCTTCCGAGTCACTTCCTTCAGAAGCTAGGCAAGAATCCTTCCTGGCATTAGGAAAACGAAGAGTGGAACAGGCTAGCAAGTGTGCAGGTGTGCGTCATATGAGAGGCCCCGCCTTACATTTTCCGCCACAGATTTGGGGAAATTGGTCCGTGCGCAAAGCATTGTGGGGATTTTAAGGACGCAAAGTCTACCCATGTGCAGCCCCGAAATTACCCCCAAACCAAGGACGCAGCCTCGGTGGAATTCCAAGTATGCTGGAGATTGGAAAAGTCCTTCGGCGGCACTCGATGATGTAGCATCCTTGAAATATTGGCTTGAAAGCCAGTTTCCTCGAGATTGAGAAACGGCCACAGACTGACTGCTCGCACCCATACTTGTAGCTGCAGTCAACCCAAATCAGGTGTCAGCAATCTCTCCTGATTTGGGGAGTGGCTAACCAGGGACCTGAGTCTAAGGCCTAGGGGCCATCACACATGCCACTACTGTATAAGAATGGCATGTTGCTGTCATTGACTATTGTTGCAAACAAACAAAATCAACTATTTGCTTAATATTTTTGTCTGATGTTTCTATAAATCTATCAAATATATTATGGTGGAAGAAGTACCTAGATATTGTATTTTAGTAAAAGTAACTTTACCACAGTGTAGAAATAAAGTCATTTGCATTAACATTAACCTGTTAAGCCCCAAAGACCCCTTCGGCGGGTCTTTTTTTTTTTTTCACGACACTGTGTCTCAGGGCTTCTTAATATTAAAAAAACTATGAATGTGTCATACCCTCCTAACGGTAAGAAACTCAGCTAACTGATGATACGAACCATTTTTACCGAAACAAAAACACAAGCCTCACAAGAAGGGTTTAAATGAGCCCTGAACGAAAACATGTTAACGCAGAGCACAGAACTCTAGCTATACCGATCAATATACTTATTGGATCTGCACAAACAAGCTTAGATAACATCCTGAGATTCCACAGATTATAGAAATATAAGTATCATCACTGAGCGATTAGAACTCGCGACAAGGGAAGCAAATACAGACAACACACAACGTAGCTTTAGGTGGCAAAACACGGAGATATGCTCACCTTTATTTGTTATTCTGATCAAAAGTTGTGTTCAATGGCATTAAAACGAGAAAAAACGCGGTTGAAGGTTAATCCATAGGTTAATCCAATGTGTCTGTCACTTTGAACAAATTATTGATAATCCATAATTCCATTTTTATGCAAAAATCGGAGAATAAGCATTAGCTGCTAATGGTAGCCACCAGAAGTTAGCGCAGCTTCCGGTTTTGCTACGCGTCACTCTCACTCCTTATCTGGTAACGTGTGTGTGTGTGTGTGTGTATGTGGAACTTTCCCTCAATTCTAGTGGTTAAAAAGAGATGGTTTTTTTTGCTAAATCTCTCTAAAAAGGTCAAATTTAACTTGTTTTGCATCAATCTTGATACAGGGTACTTATTATATGTTATAGTTTGGATCCCTAAAGCTTTTAGTCTACCATCCCATCACTCAAGGGTGGTTTTCAATATAAGTAATGTTTTTTTTTTTGGACGGACACAATCATTTAAATTGTTTTACTATGTTCAATCTGAATTTACTTTAAAATAAAATCAATCTATATTGATTCTGACTCTTCGACATCCAACTCACAGGTTTATCATTGCCTTGAGAAAAAAGATTATTAATTTTCCCCTTTTAGAAGTGTAGTTATGGTCATTTGTTCTGGGAATGTCATATCTATAAGTACCAACATGAACAGTTTGATATGCAGAAGTGACCAATTTAAATCATACTTCCCATATCATACTGCTGAATTATAATGTTTTATTTCTAACGTTTTCAGTTTAGTTTTAGGCTAATACCATTCCAATGTAAAACATTTTAAACATTTAAAGGTGTGGCTCATTTCAACGTGATATACTGCTCTGTAGCTGGACCTGCAATAATGTATCCTGGGAAAGTTTTCCAGGATACATTATTGCAGGTCATTATTCATTACTAATAATACTGTTAATACTTGTTTATTCTCATTCTTTTTTTCATTGCTGTGTATTCCATGTGTAATATGTATCTGTGTTTATTCTTATTATGTTACAGCCTAAACACATGAATTTACCTACGGGGATTGTTAAAGGTCAATTTTATCTCATCTTACCTCGCCCCTTAAATACATAAAGGTCTATTATTTACATTATGTAATTGCAGTGTCAGTCGCAAGCGGAGCAACATCCTCTTCTCCTCCAGGATGCTCCTGCAGTCTCGCGCAGCCTAAAAAGGTGAGTCTCAGATACAACATTAATCTCGCGATATGTCATTACAGACCTATTGTATCTTAATAAATGCAATTTTACCCAGTAGCCTATATAGAAGTGAAAAATTGTAAACAATTATTCCTAAATACGTTTTTATCCTATTGTGATCGCTGAGGGAAAATAAAATCAATCTTTTTATCTAAATGGAGACAACGAGTGAGTACAGAAGGAGGCACATTTTGGAGTGGAATGCGACCTCGCGAGATTTCGTTGAGCTTACTTGAGTAAATGCCACGTCTTAACAATAGCATCCAAGCAGACACAAGTATAAGCGTTTTATCAAACGTATTGCTCGCAGGACAGAGAGTTATCCAGCGGCCCAGCAGGCAGTGATATCTGACACAATCCGGTGAGAAGTAATTGCTTGTTTTCTATTGTATGTCGCAGTCAATAATTCTGCTGCAGCAACATGTTAGCAAGTTGTTAGCTAGCTAGCCAGTAAAGCTAGCAGGCTTTCTCTATAACTTGTGTGATGCGTGGTCATTGTTTGATGACTGGGGCTTTCACTGTTTGCACTTAGATTACATGTATTTAACACTTACGGATTATCCGCTTTACACCAACATCCTACGAGGAAGCTACCAGCAAATAAACACGATCAAAAACAATGCAAACTCTAAATCAAGCTTAAACAGATGTTTGTTAAATCCGCTAAGGTGTCGTTACATGAATGCTATTGTAATTACAACTGTATTGCATTAACCGTTTTGCATTGGCGCAATACACCCAATGAATATGTTAATGTTGCACAACTGTAATCATTAATCACAGCCTATTTAATCAAATACAAGTTACTTCAGTTTCCATTTAATGCAACTTTATACTGCTGCTCCACTACAGCTGTAGTTGGTAGCTGTGGTTACTTACTTATTAACACAACATGTAAATCAACCCAAATGATGATGTCTTATGCGCTTCTTGAATTCAATTAAACTAGCAATGAGTCTATGAATCCAGCAATTATTATAATCCAGTGAAATAAAATGATATACAGATTTGAGATTTCCCCTTAAAGGTCCATTCTGCATAATCAGTACTTTGGGTAATTTATGTTATTTTAACACGTTTACTAGTGTTTTTTACTTAAGGATGTTTTTGAATGCAGGGCTTTAACAACTAAACAGGTACAATTACTCACATCTTTTAACACTGGTATTGATATTTTGTAGTACTTCTTCCACCACTGGCATTAATGCAGTAAATGCAATCGCCATTTGAATACCTGCCATGTTGGCTAAACTGACTGATCCGATTAAGTAAGAATAGTTCTTCAATAGATACTAGGGATAACACCCCAATCTCACTGATGATGCACTTGTGTAAAGGTGAAATGGTGTGACTGAAAATGCTTCCATGACTACAAGGGGCGGTCACCTTTTTATGTGAGTGAACACATCTATCCCAGAGAACACGGTTTATTGGCTGATGATGCAATTCCTTACACAAGGTGAGGTAAAGAAAATCCACTGCAGCTGTATCTTTCTAATTAAGCAGTGACCGCAGTTGCCACACTTGCAAAACAAATCAGTGCATTCAAATGTTGCAGTCATTTATTGCTGTAATACTTCAATTTAAACAGTTCTAGCATTAGCAACTGTTTGGTTCCTGGTTCTTTGCTATCACAGGGAAAAAGAGGGATTGTAGGCCCTTTCTTAACCTGCTGACAAGTTGTGCATATCTAGGCACTTGTATTTATTACCATCATTCAGCTGCTAACAGGTCCAAATGTTGTATCCTTCTCATAGATGTAAACATGACCACTAAATATAATCATCAGAATTCCATTGGTTTTTTTTTTAATTAAAATTCTCACTTCTTCACTTTTTTCTTTTTGTCATAGGGGATACCATGGGCTGTGTACGTCTGCTGGCACTGACACTGGCCGCATCTGCAGTCCTCCTGTTAGCCTCCCATTCAACCACTGCTCATAGCCATTCCCATGGCGACCATGAACACGGCCACCACGGCCACTCTCACGATGACCTTGAGGATGTGAAGATGTTCCATGGAGCGAGCAAGTGGAGCGCCGAGGCTAACATCCCTCTGGAGGAAGAGGAGCACCACGGGCACGCTCACTCTCATGACCATGGACACGATCACGGGCATGCTCATGATCACGGACACGGGCACGCTCATGATCACGGACATGCTCATGATCACGGACACGGGCACGCTCATGATCACGGGCACGGACACGCTCATGATCACGGACAACAGGAGGATATTGTCCGGGTGCACAAGGAGGAAAATGGACACGTGCACTCACACGGAGGGGAGAGGGTGAAGAGGGAGGCAGAACCAGAGAAGAGGGATACGTTGGAGCTCTGGACACAGGTGAGTTCACAAGGTTAGGCTAGGAACAATGGGTTGTCTGTATGAAATGTGGCAAGGAATATCTGTTTTATATTAGTCTCTTGGAAAAGAGATGCAAAGTATTTTATGTAGCGGTGGTGCTGCTCAGAGTCATATTGTATGAGACTCTGTAGTAAGCAGCAGCTCTCAGGTCAGATCGGTTTCATCCTATCCTGATACACAATTTAAGTACGAATCTGCCAACCTTCCTGGAAAAGTATTGGCATGAGGAGCCAGTTTAATATAAATGCCTTTTTCTGGAACACAATACAGAATTTTGGAATTCTTCCTCTTTGTTTTCTTGCTGAGCATTATATCCGACTGAAGAAGGAGGCCTTCAGGGATTTGTTATCCCGTGGGACTCCCGAGGCAGTTGCAAGTCACCGACAGGCCCGGAGGACAAGCACCTCCAAATCTGAGGCCATGGTTCTCAGCATGAAACCAATGGACTGTCCACTCCAAGTAGGGAATGAGTCCTTACCCCAAGTGAAGGAGTTCAAGTATCTCGGGGTCTTGTTCTCGAGTGAGGGAACAATGGAGCGTGAGATGAATCGGAGCAGCGGGAGCGGTACTGCAGTGGCTTTACCGCACCGTTGTGACGAAAAGGGAGCTGAGCCAGAAGGCAAAGCTCTCTGTCTACCGGGCCATTTCCGCTCCTACCCTCACCTATGGTCATGAAGGATGGGTCATGACCGAAAGAACGAGATCGCGGATACAAGCAGCCGAGATGGGTTTTCTCCGCAGGGTGGCTGGTGTCTCCCTTAGGGATAAGGTGAGAAGTTCAGTCATCCGGGAGGGACTCGGAGTTGAACCGCTCCTCCTCCGCGTCGAAAGGAGCCAGTTGAGGTGATTCGGGCACCTAGTTAGGATGCCACATGGGCGCCTCCCTAGAGAGGTGTTCCAGGCACGTCCAGCTGGTAAGAGACCGAAGGGGTAGACCTAGGACCAGGTGGAGGGATTATATCTCTTCGCTGGCCTGGGAGCGCCTTGGAATCCCCTAGTCAGAGCTGGTTGATGTGGCCAGGGAAAGGAACGTTTGGGGCTCTCTGCTTGTCAAGTTCTTCAGGGTTTTGACATGTACATAGTGATTTAGCCTGAACTTGAGAGGCTGGAGGGCAACAGAGGACGCTTGGACAACTCGGATTTTGTTCTTTTTTGTCTTTATTTTTAAAAGACAACTNAGACCTGTTGGCTCTGTAGGCGAACTGCAGGGGGTCCAGGAGGGGGTCTGTGATGGATTTTAGGTGGGACAGGACAAGGCGCTCAAAGGGCTTCATAACCACAGAGGTCAGGGCGATGGGTCTGTAGTCATTTAATCCTGTGATCCTTGTTTTCTTGGGAACCGGGATGTGACATCACGCACTCTAAGCCTTAACGAGCTGCTCCATCCACACTAATGTTAAAATCTGAAAAAGGCCTCTGCCAAGCTCCAAACTAAGTTAAAGTGTAAAAGATATCACAAATCTGGATAGGATTCTAATAGCTGAATGTCTTGTGATCATTTTAAAGTTGGAATGAAGTCTCTAGCTGAAAGTATGTGGAAGGAGTATTGGCGCACGGTGTAGTTAAAAGAGGATTTGAAGGTTCCTCCCATTGAGTTCCATGTTAAAAAAAGAGTTTAAAAAGCTGAATATTTCAAGAAGTGTAAAGAAAATTGAAAAAGTTAAAAGTTTCCCATCAAGTGCTGAAAACTCTGAATATTGCGATATTTGAATGGTCTCTGTAGCTGAAAGTATGCTGAAGTTATTGAGAGCCAAAGTATTGGTTGAAATAAGAAGAATAAAGATTCGAAGAACTATTGTGTGTTTCTGACCTTACAGTTCCTGAGGAGAAATCTGAGGTCGATGAAGAGCTGATTCCTCCGAAAGTCCTGGANCTTCTCACCCTTGTCCGATCGTTCACACCGTCCACACGCAGTATACTCTCCGGCGGAATGTAAAAGTCTGTTGTCTAAACCACCTGTTAAAATGCCAGGAAGGATTCTTGCCTAGCTTCTGAAGGAAGTGACTCGGAAGACATGTGCTACCAAGCAAGCATCCTCGCGATTGAGAAACGGCCACTCTCTCCTCTTGGGTTGCTTGGCTCTACTGGACCTTGGTTTGTTTGTATTTCCTTTATATACTGATGCATGTTCACACACCCACACACTACACACATTACTGATTAACTGACTTCATAGTTCATTTAGTTTCTTTAAATAAATGCACTTCAATTGGATGAATCATGTGTGGTCTCCTTCTTTTGTCCGTCCTTGAGCCAGGGCGTGACACATGTAACTAAATACTTTTAATCAAGTAGTCTACAAGTTCAAAGTACTTTAGTATATTGGCACTTTATGCTAGTTTAGCTCTTGAGTTTTAGGATTTAAAAGAAGTTATTGAGAGCCAAAGTATTGGTTGAAATAAGAAGAATAAAGATTCGAATAACTATTGTCTGTTTCTGACCTTACAGTTCCTGAGGAGAAATCTGAGGTCGATGAAGAGCTGATTCCTCCAAAAGTCCTGGAAGGAGACTGTGGGAGTCCAAAACTTTCCTTCCAGGACGGTAAACGTATACTGTCATTTAACATCTTAAACTATACATTTTCACTGTGTGCCTTAAACTTGCCTGCATTGAAAAGTTTATGAACTTTGTGTAAAAGCCATTTTCAGATTCTTTTTTATATTTGCAGAACACTTTTTGTGAGTTTACAAAGCTTATTTTGCGTTTGTGTTACCTTTTTCTCATTTTCTGATTACAAATTTACACAAGGATTATTGATAGCAGAAACTGTATTTCTTTGGCTTACTACAGAATATAGGCCACATGATGTGCCCATGTCGAGTGTTGTGTAACATTTTATAGTAGCATTCATCCAAGACTACTTAAAAACACTGAGACAATAGAATTTGTAGCACAAAAATGTGTAGATGAGATATCATCTAGGTCATCAGCTTTGCAGTTGTACACTTGGTTGTTGGAGAAATGTGTAAATATAAATACAAATAAAACACCCCCTACTTTTACAATGTATTCCTTTGTCTGTTGTCTTACGGCTTTTAACTCAGATATGATACATTTTTATCACTGAAACATTGGAAGTCATACAATGTTTTCTTGAATCACTGTCTAATCTTTCAATACACTCTAAAACCATTATCACAACCCAGGTGTCTTTAGTTGAAAGACAGGCTGTTGAAGTCTTACGGGAGTTATCAATGCAGGAGCAATAACACAACTTAAGTGAGTAAGCAAATGTTTACATATAACATAATAAAAATGGGTTTTGGGCATTGAAAACAGACAAGCAGAGACAAAGAGCATTTGTGGAATTTGGCAGGAACCAGTAGAGAGTCAACTTAAATATTTTACAGAGAAACAAACATGTCTCAATCTTTAGTTGCTATCTTTTTTAAGGGTTTCAAAAACGTGTTACATGGTCAGTTCAACATGGCAATAAAGGCACTGAATCTTGAGGCTTAGGCGTATGTGCAACTGCTTCCCCGTGTTACCACTAGAGAGCAACGTAACCCTGAGCTGCTGTGAGAGAAGTCAGCACAGAGAAAAGAGCTGCCAGAGAATTTCGAACCCCAAGAATTTCGCTGTAACACTGGGTTTTATTATGGTTTACTTTTAAAAATAATATGTTGTTTGTAGAATATCAGATCCAGAAGTGCTTTACAATTTGAAATTATAGAACTTTTTATTACATTACATGTCATTTGTGAGACGCTTTTATCCAAAGCTACTTACATACATTCAGTACTGTGGACAATCCCCACAGGAGCAACTTGGGGTGAAGTGTCTTGCCCAGGGACACAACGACATGCTGACTCGAACTTGGTACCCCTGATTCGAAGTCCAGCACTCTATCCACTGAGCCACAGCCGCCCTTTATAACTCATATTCATAAGATGTTTTCCTCCATTGCACAATTTATTCAATGTTTTGAGGCATTATGTTTATATGTAAATGTGGAAAACTTAGTGACCAGGAGGAGAAGCAGGAAGTGAAGGTAGTTCAGAACAGCACAGAAATTAACATAATACCTTTTAATTTAAGGTAAATGTTGCATCAATCAGAAAAGTTGCATCAAATGTATATGGAATCACAGACGTTCAAGCTAGCCTACAACTTCAAGATTTAGAAATGTCAGTTTGCCTCAGTTCCAACAAGTACTTTTAAGTGTAATAGAACCATCTCAACGTAACTCTTTTCCCAGTCACAGTCGAACTGCAAAAACTCTCACATCCTTCAAAGAAGCCCGCAAAACTCACAGCTTCCAACTGCTGAAGCTCCACGCCCCTCCACGTGGGTTGGGTGTCTGGGAAAAGTTACTTTTATTGTACTGAGAAACCACTCTGATAATCATTTTAATATATGGACTGATAATAAACCAATATTCCGTTTAAATCGGAAATATTAGGTTCAACTTAATAATATTGCTTTCAACTAACCTAATACATTTATGTGAAATTTGTTGGCATAATACATTTAATTAAAGTCAACGTTTCAGTTTTTCCAGTGTAGATATAATCAAATCACAATGACAACACAGTTGTATGGTCCTTACTGAAGAATTTAAATGAAATTGCAAAGGTCGAAACATTGCGTCACTCTGGGCCCAGAATAATTTTAACTGCATTTTATTTTCACTCTGTAAAAATAAATAATTGTTTTAATCGATGCAGGTTCTTGTTGGTTATTTAAACAATGTTTATCATATTATCCCTTTCTCTCTCTCCCTTTAGCCACACCCCCCCATTCTCTTCCGGTTCACCAGATGCCCATCTTGCTTTCCCTCTAGTCAAAGTCACCTGACCTTCTCCACCCACTTGCTCACCTATTCCCACTTTCCTCATCCACCCTGCAAACATTAACCATGCCTTTTCCACTCCCTGTCAGATAGTCATTTTTCTTTGTTGCTTGTTGACATTGCTTTCAAGCTATTAAGCTACGATCACCATCGCAATGAATCCCTACATTCTCCCTGTCTGTCCAGTTCTCTGCATTTGGGTCCTTGCTGCCTTTCACTCACCCTGTGAGAGTGTGTCAATGCTGGTATACACTCACCGGCCACTTTATTAGGTACACCTTGCAAGTACCAGGTTGGACCCCCTTTTGCCTTAATAATGCCTTAATTCTTCTTGGCATAGACTCACCTAGGTGCTGGAAACACTCCTCAGAGATTTTGATCCATATTGACATGATAGCATCACGCAGTTGCTGCAGATTTATCGGCTGCGCATCCATGATGCGAATCTCTCGTTCCACCACATCGCAAAGGTGCTCTATAAGATGTAGATCTGGTGACTATGGAGGCCATTTGAGTTCAGTGAACTCACTGTCATGTTCAAGAAACCAGTTGGAGCTGATTTGAGCTTTATGACATGGTGCGTTATCCTGCTGGAAGTGGCCATCAGAATATGGGTACACTGTGGTCATAAAGGGATGGACAATGCTCAATTGGTACTTAGGGGCCTAAAGTATGCCAAGAAAATATCCCCCATACCATTACACCACCGCCACCAGCATGAACCGTTGATAAAAGCCAGGATGGATCCCTGCTTTCATGTTGTTTACAGCAAATTCTGACTCGAACGTCCGAATGTCGCAGTAGAAATCGAGACGCATAAGACCAGGCTACATTTTTCCAATCTTCTATTTTGGTGAGCTAATGCAAATTGTAGCCTCAGTTTCCTGTTCTAAGCTGACAGGTGTTGCACCCGGTGTGGTCTTCTGCTGCTATAGCCGTCTGCTTCAAGGTGCACGTGTTGTGCGTTCAGAGATGGTCTTCTGCATACCTTGGTTGTAACTAGTGGTTATTTTAGTTACTGTTGCCTTTCTATCATCTTGAACCAGTCTGGTCATTTTCTCTGATCTCTTGAATCAACAAGGCATTTTCACCAGAGAATTGCCGTTCACTGGGTATTTTCCCTTTTTCTGACCATTCTCTGTAAACCCTAGAGGTGGTTGTGCGTGAAAATCCCAGTAGATCAGCAGTTTCTGAAATACTCTGACCAGCCCTTCTGGCACCAACAACCATGCCACGTTCAAAGTCACTTAAATCACCCCATTTGGATGCTCTGTCTATTTGAACTTCAGCAGGTTGTCTTCAACATGTCTACATGCCTAAGTGCATTGAGTTGCTGCCATGTGATTGGCTGATTAGATATTTGCGTTAACAAGCAGTTGAACGGGTGTACCTAATAAAATGGCTAGTGAGTGTATGTGTTTGTTCCAACTCTAAATCACATCAGAAAAGTAATTCAGCCCATTGGTGTTTCAACATTTAAATGAAACTCTTTTCTGCCTCCTTTCCCTCACTCTGCTGTGTTCTTTATGGCTTTAAATTAATTACTATCACAGAGAAGCTTTATCTGTGGGGCTCTCTTTTCAGAGAGGGCTGCTCTCTGGTTTTGTTTTGCATCTTCAGTCTGCTTGAGGGTCTTGTTGCCTTCTGTTCCTGGGGTGACTGCTCAAGGAAATGACAACAAATGTATGCTGGTTGTGGGGCTGTTGTTAAATGTGTTTTGCTTAAACAAGAACCAAAAAATTGAGACTTGCCCTTTTGTTTGAGGAGAAAACATAACCATGAACAACACAAGCCTATTTTCTAATCTTCGCCCTATCCGGGTTTTTAAAAAAAGAAATTCTTGGCCTGAAACACTTAAATCTGGAACTTTACAATCAGTACATAAGAACATAATGTCAATAATATGGCATCATCTGAGTGTTTGTTTTGGCTAAACGCTAACCCTGTTCACTAATAATGGTAAGTCTACTGCTGGCCAAACACCGAAGAACAATAAACACTTTTTCCATTTCATACTTAGAGAAACGACATCTTTACTGAAATGACAGATGTCGCTTGCACTCCCAGACAGACAGACAGAAATTTGAATCAATCAATAATCTTGTCATTGAGTAAAGTCTACTTCAAGTTCACACGTCCTCAGGGGCGTCTGCAGCCGGCTTCTCATTTTGTCCGGGGGAGCTCCGCTGACCCCTGAGCCACTGCCGGGGATTGTCCTGATGCAAATGAGGAGAGGGAACCAATTCATCGTCGCACAATTCGATTAGACATCTGCATATTGAGCATCTGCACCCCATGAAAATCTGCCAATACCTACTCTCCCTCCCCCCCTGCCCCCACGTTCTCTGGCCCCCCACAGGGGTAGCGCCCCACGACCCCGGGGGCAGCCTCTGTCCCTGCTCCCCACCCGCCTCCCCCTGTCTCCCCCTCTTGTACCCTCCTGACCCTGTCAGACCCAGCTACAATACCTGACCCCGCCCCAGAGACGGGACAGTTGGAGTTCAAGGTAAATGTCCCTTTCTCTGGGTCCGTCTGTGGGCCACCCTGCGGCCCCTGACCGGCCCTCGTCCAATAATCACATTCACCGCTCCTTTTTTTTCGTACTTTCTCACACACACAGACAGAATCACACACTCACACATTTATATTACAAGCTTTTTCTTGAAAAGACATGACTTGCTGAAAGTGAAGGCTTTCCTTTCTCTGGTGCTTTCCTATTGTAATCAAATCTGACCGTTGGCTCTTATTCACACATCTCTGCCATGCCATTTCCCTCCTTTTTTTTATCGCTCAAATTGATTCATCAGGATCTCTTTCAGGGCTGGAAAGAGAGAGCGAAGATGTCAATAAGTTTAAAGCAACTCGTGTTTAGCCTCACCACAATTTGATGTTGAAATGTTAGTTTACAGTTTAATGTACAACAGCATGTTCCTGAGTGTGGCATGAACTGTTTAAGGAAAGTGCATTCTGTCTTGATTTTATTTTGTAGACACTTATTTGATAAATGGTTGATAGAGCTCATATTTGAAACATCAAATGTTTTAAACCACTTAATAAACCAGCGTTTTCATTCATTTCAAGCAATACCAACTACTCTTCATTTTTCTAAATTTGGTTTAAAGCGTCCCATTTATCAAATTTGATTCTGACAGAAAACTGCAGTTCAACCAGCTCTCCGGAGTGACAAACACAACTTATTATATACCACCTTGCATAGGGCAGTTCAAATTGCTTTACCAAATCAAACTGCACAACTGTTTGCTATAATTAGTTAACTTCTTAATGCACGTATCTCAGACTAACAAATTAAGTAGAACTGTGTATAAAACAAGATTTTGAGACACAACAAAGTATTTTTTTGTGTGCAAAAAAACAGCATGAAGCAATTCAGATATCCTGTCTTTATGTGGTTTGCATATTGGTGTAACTGAGAGCTGTTAATGTTTGTAGTTTTGTCTTATTGAATGTCTTTATGTAATCTGAGCATTCACACTTTGGTCCTCAATCATTTCTCTACTCAGCACAGTGATTGAACTTTATTCTCCTCTGTCGCTGGATTTACAGCAAGCAATTTAATTTCCTTTGTTGTTGTGCTCTTTTTCTTTTTAAACGGAGAAGCCACTTGCTTTACTGTAGGTCTGCTTTTTGATAGGTGCTGTGATTGCTCAACACTTTCTCCGCAAACATTTAAAGTTCACCTGTATTTTTCACAGGATGCCTTTTGACAGCTCCCAGATAACAGATATGGACTTGTTACATCCACTTGTTGGCTGTCTTTCAGTGAAATGTCTCCAAGCATTCACATCCAGACATCCAAATACCGTTTTAGAAAGATTTTTAGCCATTATGTTAAAGCATTGAGTGTATTCATGTGAATGCACCCGACACTAAATCTTAAAACGTGTGTGCCAGGGTTCATGTGCGCTCCTCGTTGCATTTGTGTTGCTTTGTGTGCCTGGGATCACTTTGAACCTCGTCTCTCTGATTCTTGGCAGGAAGTGAGGGTCAGCAGCTCTTGGTCGTAAAACTGCTTTTGGTCGTTCTCCCGCGGTGCAGAGGCAGGGGAGAGGACAGAGAATCTCTGTCACCTCGTGATGGCACGGCATGTGAGGAGATCGTTGGGAATGCCAATAATTACTCGATCCGAGGATGAGCTGCTGCTCTCAGTGCAACAGAACCTCCTGCAGTATAAGAACATGTAAATATAAATAACTATACAATCAAGGTGCATGCCCTTTATCTCTTCACAATGAGAAACTGAGGGCTTCGTTCTGTGAAATCAAAGGTGATGTTACACAAGTGAAATGGTTTTAAATACATATTTAACAATAAAATCACAGGTTATCTCTGAGATATCTGCTCAGTCGAGAGGTAACGGTGGTGGTTTAACTGAGGGTAAAGCAACTTTTGAGTAATTATTTTATGATTAAGATTAACACTGTCTTCCAGCTAATTGTTGAACATGTTTTAACTTTATTGAATAACAGTTTCAACAACAACATCCAAACAAGACAAATCCCATCCATGTTAAAATGCATACAAAAGAACAGGAATAAACGTATACAAATTGACAAGACATTAAAATATGAAATACTACTTGAAAAACGAATATAATATTGGGTTACTGACAGCATTAGAAATACTGTGTTGTGAAAGGCATGTTACAGGTCAGAAAGGTGCGTTTTTGTTTAAGATTAAGAGTAAGAAGAACTGCATGGTTATAAAAAAATCAACATAAGTCACCTGACAAGTATGACAAGAGAGAAACAAAGCCAGAACATTTAAACAACTGAATGAAAATCAAAAATCAAAATCAAAAATTAATCAAAACACATGTATTTGTTTGGATCTATATGGATCAACATTATTGAAAGGTACAAAATAATATTAAGACGAGATATTATTTTGACCAAAGCATCTTATCAAATATACTCTTTATATGTACAATCAGTGTCATTGATATAACCTTTCTATTGTAACGTTTTCCCTCCAATTTTTTTAATGTAAAATTAAGGGCACAGATTTACACATTTTACATTTTATAAATATGTAAACATTGTAGGATGTAGCGTCACTTAAGTTAGAAGACCATTTAATTGGTTTACAAGACACATTAATTCATCTTAAAAATTGATTGAGTTGTCAAAATTGCTGTCTGTTCGTTTTATCCGCTGTGGAACCAGGAGCTCAGCGTTCTCCCATCAGGGTATATTTGTAGCTACAACACAATGTTCAAAAGCCTTTGTCCCTCATCCTATTGCTGTGATCTGCGTCTCAGGGCTCGAGGACAAAAGGTGTCAAACGGAGCGTTGGACTTGGCCTGCCATGTCCTCCCAAGGCTGCTCCTAATCCTATTACTGTGTTCTGAGGAGAAGTATGGATCCCCGCAACTATAAAAGTCTAAAGAGGCCCTGTGTATTTACTCTGTGCATGTGTGTGTGTGTTCTAGTGTGTGTAATGGCATTGTAAGCAACTTCTTATCCACGTTGTCATAATGTGTTATCCACTCATGCGGCTCAAGGTTTTGCAGTCTACTTCTGTTCGTTACGGAGCAGGTGGACATTTCAATCTCTACTGCTGCTGTAGTTCCGCAGAACTTTAGCCGCTACATCCGTCTTTCGTGAAGCTTCCCCTCAAATCTGTTTAAAGTTTGGAGGGTATTTCATGGTGCAATGAGGACAAAAGTTTAGTTTGTTTAATGTTTGCATGTGTCATGTGCATAGCATATACAAAAACTAGCAAATGTCTTTAAAAAAAAAAAGGCACATTCTCAAAATTGTTGAGATTTTCTTGATAGATTTTTAACATCTGAAAACTCAGCTAGAGGTTAGAATCAGAAAAAGTATTGCCAAGACAATTTGCTTGAGTTACAGGTGACAGCATTCCACCTAACCCATTGCTCACTAGTGCAGACTCTTATCCCCTCTAGATGAGCAGTTTTACATCTACAACATTTTTTAACATCATTACGGGACCCTTGGCTGATTTAGTCTTATCTATTAATTATTATTATTATTGTATTTTCTTTAATGTATTCAGGGTCACATATTGTGTTTTTTTTCACATACTTCATAACATACAATATGTTTACATGCTATAATGTTTTAAAAAATCAATTTTTCATACTGGGTGCATTACCAGTTATAAAAACGTTGACTTTTGACATGATAGTCTGTAGAATGTAACATATGCATATAGCTAATGTTAGAAGATGAAATGTAAGGTAATTAGCTATCTACCGTTTTCTCGAATAGTATGGCAATAGAAACGTTGAAACATTCATTGCGTGTGGCGCTCTACTGCACATTCTCCTCAGACAGAGTGCCCAGAGTAGTCTCTGCCACACCAGAAGTGAGATGCTCTGAATAACCACATGCTTCATTATGGCATGCGCTCCAAATTAACCGACAGTCCAGAGTGACTTTTTACGAAGGCACCCTTTGACTGAACCTGGAAATAAACAGAGACAGAATGTTAAGGTTAGAAACTGAAATAATATGTATATTATGTAGTTGTGACTAGGGATGTCACTTGACGGTACTCTTTTATTTATTTTTCTCAGCAACACAGGTATTGTAATGACCTCTAGCACCACAAGGGCTTCCCAGGGCTGCAGGAAAATGGGGTCGGGGTGCAGTGAAATTACTACACACACCTCCAGGAAACATGCACTTTTTTTCCTTATAATTATAAAACAAACTTTAACAGTGTGCCTCAGCTGTGTACACATTAGTGGTATAAGAAGAAAGAAAACACACCTGAATGTCATTTATTTTTACTTAATTGGTATTTCAACTTTGCCTATGTTGGCTTTCAAGTCTCAAACTAATGAGCGCATCACAAAACAATAATAAGAGATCATAATGTTCAAAGCCATAGTGCCTGGACAGCATTTGACACAAGAAGGATGATAGAGAAGTTATAGGTAAAAAATTGAATTTCCTCAACATTTTGGAAAATGTGCTTTCTTATGCTGATGGAACACTTTATTTATCTGCCGCCTACACTTTGTCTTATTGTCTGCGAGCAGTTTTGAGCTTGAAATGACCAGAATGAAATGTCGTCGAATGGCCTTTTGTTTTCTCAGGGTGTCACTTATCTGGCTGAAGTGCAGGCCGCGGCCACACACACATAGACACATGCACACCCAGTCGTCCACAACCTTTCAATTGTGGCATTTGCGCATATTGACCAGAGTCAATTGCCTGTCAAATGCTATGCGCGATTAGACACCAGTAGGTATGAGGCGTAATGCGGGCGAGCCTCCCAAAGCCTGAACGTTGTGGGGGCCCCACTGTGTGAACCCCATGGCCCTTCTCACTCCCCTTCACCTTTTACAATCCCCCCACCCCTCTCTTTTTCATCTAACCGCCCCAGTTCAATGTTAATGTCCAGTGGTGTCCACTCTTCGGACGTGTCCCACCCGAGTGAAAACCCCAGAGAAGAAAGGGCCAAAAAGAGAAAGAAAACCAAACCTTCCCTCCTTCTTTTCTCACCCGGCCTCCTCTTGTGTGCTGTCCAGCTGGTTGTGACCCATGACCCCCTGACCCTCACTCCTGACCCCTGGACCCGTTCCCACGCCACGCCTTTTTGTGTCCACCTCGCCATGGCAACACCTTGGTCACTGCTGCTGCCACGGTAACAGATGGACAGGGGCCTAGAAATAACTTCATTCAGCCCCGCCCGCAAAAGGGTGAGTACCATGCACAATCTGCCCTAAGCCCCCCTCCCCCCCTCCTCCTTCCTTCCACTGTCTCACACACATACTTGGACACACACACACACACACACTGCACCCCCAACCCAACTTTGACACCTCCTGTGCCACATTCACCCCAATCCCCTTGGCAGGGGCCTCTGGGTATCAGGGCCTGATAGAGTCATTACCATAGATATCCCAGATTCCCCCTGGCATGTACACGGCACGTACATGGTATTAAGAATAAATTGCCGTTGTTGGCACAGAAAAGCACATAAAGGCACCCCAAAGTCACCCACATATCCCATTTCACACTGCTGGTATTTATGGTCCGGGGCGTAGGAGCGCTTACTTCATCACTGCGCTGTAATTATCTCTCTGCTTCTTTTATTAGCCCTATTGTTTTCTCACATCCTCCGATGAGAAGAGGGGCTGGGGGGGAGAGTTGTAAAGACACAGAGCTGAGCAGCAGGGGAGCTGTTTGGTAACTCGGAGACAAACGGCAAACTGAATGGCATCGTTGAGTAGCTCAATAAGGTGCAGCAGGAAAATGAACTGCAACAGTTTTGGTGCTAATCAGTAACTAACCTCGAAACAAGGTTGCTTGTGTTTTGTCTCCGTCTTTAGGGAACACCTCTCGGAGAGACACTGTGAGTAGATTAAAGGCGGATAGTGTAATTACTCAGAGGAATGGGGTCTGTGCAGAGGAAGAGAGGTTTTACACTGCTTAAAACACACTTGTCTTTGTAAAGAGACCTCGGGGTCTCATCTCGCTGTCCCTGTAGAGAGCGAACAAACAAGTAAACAAACAAAATGGCGACCACTGACACAACGGAGGTCTCCTATGGCCTTCATCTTTGTCCTATAGGCGTCAAAACTATGTGGAACTTAAATATTTCCATCGAATTGAGTATCCATAAGAAATTGTTTTAGCTAAACCACCTGGTTTGACTGGGTAGCACTTGTGTGGGGGCGGGCACCAACCGCCAACAGACTGACCATTGAGGCCAACCCACACAAGCGAAGCCACTTATTCAATTTTTGGGGATTTCGTATCCCATCCCTGAATGCATCTGCATCTCACTATATATTTCCCTCTAGTTTCTCTCCCCCTCTCACCCCTCCTGTGTCCAACACCCCCCCATGCTACCCTGTCCCCCCCCTTTTTCTCCCTCCCCCCTGCCTCTCGCCCAGTTCATTGTACCAAAGGAGATTTTCTCCATTGAAGCCCAGTCTCTTAGGTAACCCCAGCGCTGCATGAAATGAGGAGAGGAAGAGGGCGAGAGACAGAGAATGAGAGAGAGAGGGGGGGGGGAGAGAGAGAGAGAGGGCGGGGAAATTGGGAGAGGGAGAGGGCGAAGGAAATGTAAAGGCAGAGGGAGGGCCGGACAGAAAGGGTTGAAGAAGAGGAGGGAGAAGGACGCAGAATCAGTGGAGGCAGAGACAGCGAGAGGGAAAGATGGAGAAGTAGGACAAGTGCGGTAAGACGTCGACAGCGATACAACCAGAACTCGACCCAGACCTGAGGGGAGGATGAGAGGAGATGGTGTCTGCTGCACACGTAAGGATGAGTCCTCTGTGGCTGAGAAGGACTTTGTCTCCTGCTTTTTGCACTAATTCTTGATCCAGATTTTAGGCCCCAAAGGGTCCAAACACTGGGTACTACTTCGCTTTTATCTTCATGTCTTTTAGCTTTGAGTTGATTAACTGTTGTACATTTAAATATTACAACCTTTTTTTGTTTTTTAACAGTGCAGGTCTTTTTTTCCAAATAGCCTGTGTGGTGGCAGTACCTAAAGACAAGTGTACACCAGATCAGGTCGGGCCTCCAGGCCTCTTTTAAGACCAGCATCACTGCCTGTATCTATCAAAAAAATGTAGTAACTATTTTTGTTTGAATTAGATAACAGAGAACACATGTTTTAATATAGGTATTCGACACCTAGGAAACTTTGATGCAAAGTTTTTTCCATTATTGGAACATTTTCATATCTCATTGGTATTCATGACAGAAAGTTTACTTCCATGTACATGAATTCAAAGAAATTTTATAGACTACTTGAACAGAAACACACACTTATATTTCAGCATTCAAATAACATTTGAAGACTGATTTTTTTTTCTAACTGTGGTGGATTTTCTGGCTCTGTGATTTAAATGTAAACTTTGTTCTCAACAGAGACTTTAACTGTAAGGAAAGCACTCTGAAATGCTGCCATCCTTTGTGGCCATGCTGCTCTGCACCTCAATGGTGGGCACACAGCACATGGGGTTCCCATGAATAGGCCAGGCCTCACCAAAGACCACATCATTTGGATAAAGACGGGCTCCCACAGAAAGAGAAAACACCTCACGGAGCGAATCAGATAAAGAGAAAATGTTGCATATGGCAAATCAGATTAGGGCGAGTCAGAGCTTTACTTTTTAGTTTTTAGATTTTTTCCCCTCCCACCCCCCTGCCTCAGTTAAATGTACTACCACAGCAGTGTCTGATAATAATACGCTCTACTGCTGCGCTGAGTTATCATCTCAGGCTTTTGTCTTCTTTGATCCGTGTGACCGTTGGGGGACCCACTCCTTCTTTTGTAAAGGGTCACATCACCGGCTCCTTTTGGACGGGCCTGCCCCCGGGTGGTGACCCCTTCGTTCATCATGGTGTCACCCACACAGAGGACAAGCATGAGTTAGAGCCTACTCCCTCTCCCTTTTCTCTCCTTTCTTTCTCCTTGCCTTCCCGCTCATTCCTCTGTTCTAGCCTGACCATCCTTTCCTTCTTATCCATAGATATGAGCTGACCTGAGGCGGGGCGGAGGTCAAACGCTGAACTTCATCAGATGGAGGAAGTGATATTTGGATGGAATGGCACCATTCCCTCACTGACTTTAGTAAATTGAAGCTTAATTGACCTCAGCATCCTTAAGTCCCCAGTCAGCGAAGCAGGCCATCCGTTTGACTAGCCAAGCATGCGTGAGTATGAGAACTTCCCGATGTCCAAGAGAAGTACGGGGGTCCGGAGCTGATTGTCCAAACGCAATTCTTGCGTCTGCCTTTGTGAAACCAGGAGTTGTGCATGGACATCACGCCCCTGACCTCTGAAAATCAGCGAGGGCACAGACCACCGTGGTCGGGATACAACTCAGTGGCTTTGTGGGTGCATAAGTGAGAGACACTGAAAGACAAACAGAGAGAGGGAGAAAGCGAGGGAGATATTGAATAAGGGAGAGTGTGTGTTTATGTAAATGTAAAACCTGTGAGAGACCCAGTTGACATTTCTGGAGGTCAACTCTAGTTTTGTTTCAAGTTGGGCTTGCTAAATCTTTTGGCTCAAAGCTTTAATTTGTAACAGAACAACAAGATGCAACCAGTCATTTCTGCCCTTCAGGTGAAACATGAGAAAACATTTATTTGACAGAGCCTTCCTGATAAAGACAGGCTGGTGAACAATAATTATCATCATCACCAGTTTGAAAAGTTATTAGAGCACAGAGACGACAGGTGGACAGCAGGACAGCAGCCAAGTAGGAAGAGGAAGCAATTTATTATTCACACAAGACTCCACATACTTCATGGCAAACACTGTCCTCCATAATTCAAAACAATATTATAAAGTTCTATTTTGTACAGTTTCAACAGGGATTTATAGGCTGCGGTTGAGATTAACGTATTGCTTTCAGGTTTAGGGTTAGGGTTAGAAGAGAAGAGGAAAGAAACAAATATCTTAAATGCAGATGGAATTTTTTCAAAAATATTACTTTTGTTCTGTTCAGGCACAAAGCTAGACACTCATTCCATGACTCTGAAGATTTGGTGTTTCCCATTTTGGAGATTTTGGAGATAGGGGTTGGAGTCTGTTGAAGGAGCAGAAAGTGCTGCTCTCTCCGTGTTGAAAACAGTTGAATGTGTCCGGTTTGCACTTCAGTACTGGCGTCTGGGGTCTTGCTAAATTCGCAGTGGTAGGGGTGAGAGTGATAGAAAAGGAGAGTGAATGAGAGGAGGGAGGTGTGTGTGCGTATGTGTGTGTACTTACCCTCTCTGTGTTTGCCCCTGTGAATTTGCCTCTATGTGTTTTATCCTGTGTTTGACAAAGTTCAGGGGGCCAGACTTGGAGAAAGAAAAGGGAAAATGAGAGAAAGTAAAGGCTTTGAATGAGGTGGTGGGAGAAAGAGGGAGAGAGACGGTGAGCAGGATGAAAAAAAAGTCAAAGATCTGACGGGGGAGAGAGAGAGAGAGAGGGAGAGAGAGAGAAAGAGAGAGAGAGAGAGAGAGGAGGACAAGAGGAAATTTTTTGGAGGGAAAGAGAAGACCAGGAACCTTGAAATTTGTGTGGTGAAATAGTCCGTTGCTTCACAGCACAAGAGACGTAAATTGGTGATATTTATAGATTGAAGCTGCAGGAAGCGACAACTCATTCGGGGAAATATGTATAGAGAAAGAGAAAGAGCTGTATAGGGAGGGAGAGAGCGGGAGAGAGAGGGAGGGAGGGAGATCAAGAGGGAGGCTGCATTAATATGCTAATGTCTTGAGTGAATGCACAACAGGCCCACTGACCAGGCTAATCACTGGTGGACACACACTGAGGCTAATCCCTCACGCAGCACTCACACCAACACACACATGGTCACACACATGCAGGAACAGACAGTGTACATTCAAATATTTGGACGGTGACATATTTTTTGTTGCTTTGTCTCAGCTCATTGGATTTAAAATGAAAAGCTGCCTTTTTTTTTAAAATGTGTATGGTGTTTATTTCCATGTTGATAGAATGGTGTGTTAGTGATTCAGAAAGAAACTTACTGCGAAGGATTTTGTGAATGCTATATTAATTAAATATTTTTATTTAATTTCAAGGAAAGCCGAGCCAAAATATACCAAATTCACTGCCACACCAAATACGAGGGAGAAGACCACATTTTTATTTACATAATTGCAACATCCATCTCTCCCAACTGTCGCTTTCATGTGTCTCTTATCTTATGTAGCCTATCTCTCTCTCTCTCTCTGTGTGTGTGTGTGTGTGTGTGTGTGTGTGTGTGTGTGTGTGTGTGTGTGTGTGTGTGTGTGTGTGTGTGTGTGTGTGTGTGTGTGTCATCATTCATATTACAGGTGAAAATGCAGAGGATTACTTGTTAATAAAAATGAAATTTCAAACGCAGTTGTGATTGTCTGTGTTTCTTCTTCTTGAGCCAATTGCCAGAAAAGTAATTTTTCTCTTGAAAGGTTAGCAGGACAAAAACCCTTAAGAAATTACAAACGCTAGTAAGAAATAAGGGTTGTATTGTTTTACTTGTCTGCTTCATCTATGCGACTTCAAAAATACATTTCCTAGTGTGATCATTATATATACTTATCCATTACTTTGTCTGAATCAACTTAATAATATCAAGGAAAATATCTTTCGGCACAGTGTATTCACGGGTGTATACAACTTTAATTTTGTAAATGGGAAGAATGTAATGTGATATGTATTATAAAACACTGTGTAATGCCATTTTAGCCCCCTTGATGGGGATCAAGCATCATAAATGGCTGGAGCCTAAAAGCACAGCTGCAGCTTTCAAGCACAACAGTTTTAACAGTTTAAACAACTCCCTAATCAAGCACATGTTTTTAGTTATTCCTATTTGCCAATTTTGAAAAAAGGCATGGAAAACATGTGTACAGACGGGGTGATGCAAAAAAAACTTAATAAATAATCGCATTTTTATGATTAATGATTATTACAAAAAAGCTCTTGTAACTATGCTATTCCTATGGCAAAACATGATTTTAGGACTATTTATTGTCACAGTAATTTGTGCTACCCTTCCAGCATCCCTAAAAGGAAAACATTTCATCAAAACTATACTGATGCATTTCCTTGTTTTTTTGTTTTGTTTGTAGACACTTAAAAGTGATGCTGCATTGTTACATAACCATCTTTACCTGAAGGATTTCCTTGACATTGCATTTCAAAAACGCTGTCCAATTAGCTAGTGAAAATCATTAGATCATATGAATAGGTTGCCACAATATAGGTGTACTGTTATTTGGATGGTGAGGATATACATTTTTTATAATGTTTAAATTGATGTCTTCTGGATAAGAGACAAAATATTTACATCTATGTTAACAATTAAAAACTGTTACAAAAAAGCCAGAATTTAATGTATAAAGCACAAACTGACATTTGCGTTTTACACCCAGTCACACATAAAATATAAATTGATAAAGTGAAAGGTAGAGTTGAGGTAAACCTACATATCGATATATGAATTTATTGAAAATCCAATGTCTTCCAATATCTGGCTTTTCCTCTTTTTTTATAGTCTGCGACTTATGCTTTTACAAAGGTTCCCACAGCTTCCAGTCATCATCAGTCTGTATGTTTGCCGCTCCTTCAAGTGAGCAGATATAATTCTCTATTTGAACACTGATAATACAAATGTGATGTATCATACTTTGTTTTTCATTGCATCAGGTTTACCAATGTCCTCCAATAACCTTTTGAGCAAATTACACACTCACTGAGCTGAACTTGTCTTGACCTCTTGACCTCTTGCTCTCGATACGTCTCCCTCACTGACATGTGAGACACACACATCCCTTCTTCTGCCTTTAAGCAACCCGGGCTGCAGTGTTTTGCAGTGATTCAGCGCCAATGTTAAACTGTTAGAGAGCACTAAGCCAAATCCTCCACCATCATCATGTTTTCATCCTTGCAGGGGGAGGGAGGGTTGACTACGAGGCAAAGTGGGGGGAGAAACAGACACACACGGGGCCTAGTCGTCACATATTTTCATACGAAGAAGCTGTGCCGCTAAAACGTCAGTGATCCGTATTTATTTGCCGTCAAAATATCTTACAATATGTAGCTTGGTTATGTCTAGGGAAATGAGACATAGGTGGAGCAACCAGTTCTAAAATGGTCTGTTCTTGGCTTTCTAAATCTCCTCCAGAGCTAACTAGCTCGCTAGCTAGCTAGGTTAGGGGGCTAAACGTAGCTAATAGCACTTAGACTGTTTGCCAGCTTACACCAGAAATAGCATTAATTCAACTAAATGTAACTTTAACGACACGTTTGCCGTGAACACCATGTCGCAATATGGTATAATTGTGAATTGTGTATTCAAAAAAGATAGCTAATTTCAGTTACATAGTTTTACGGTAGGCCCATCTAAGTGTTAGCTAGTCTATGAGCTATATAGTGGCTAACGTTAGCTTGCAAGAACGGTGGTTTGTTGCTTTCTGTCTGGGCTCCAGCTATATCATAGAATGGGACGTTTTCCTCACTGCGTGGAAGATAGTTGAAATAGATAGTCTCTGCTGTTATTATAATGTTTACTATTTTATTTTAAACATAGTGTATTTGTTAGCCATGAGTTTAGCAGCTGACAGCTTTGCAAACTACTGCTGTAACGTCACATCTAATGCCAAAGAATTGATGAAATACAGAAGCACTTAAATTGACAAGCATATAGCTCATATCCTTGCAATGGCATGACTCATGAGGGATATCATTTGTGTCGAACAATGTTAAGGCAAAATTGGCATTCTCTGTGCCACATCATTGTCTCATGCGCAGCTCTCTCATGTGTTGGAATTTCAGACCCGTTTTTGGTTTCCCAAAACAACTCCGGCCCGGGCCTCAGTCCGCGGTCTAGAGTTTGATAGCAGGCTGTTTGAGACGCCTTGGTGTGCAGCTGCCAACAAGTCCCTTTGATCCAGCCACCATCATGGGAGACAGTAGAGGTGAGAAAATAACAGCACTCATTTTTGTTATCAGCAATGCAACAACGTGAATGTAAACAAAAATGCCCATGTTTAACTAATGTTGAATTCTAGCTATTACTTTACTGATTATACTTACACATCATAACTGTTGTTAAACTAGATATGGAAATTATGGGTAATTTTGTGGCACAGATGACATCCCACCATTTATCTAAACAAAGCAAAGTGCATTTGAATAACATGATTATTTGAAATTCCATCTTAATGTAACTTGCTTTCAATGTGATGTCGGGTTTAAGTTCACTGACGGGTCTAGTTTTAATTTACCCTTGATCCTAAACACCTTACAGTGACATTGCATCAGGAAAGTAATGTAACAACATGAACGTGTTGGTGTCATTCTCGCCACACATTGGTTTGCCACCCATCTTGCCATGCACCTTGACTTCAAAAATACATTAAAAAAAACAATGGAAAGAAATGTCATGTTTAAACCACAATTCCTTGTGTCATTTGAGTTGATAAGTATTTACATGGCCGTTACTGTCAGTAATTTGTTTTAAGGAAGAAAAATAGATAACATCAGACAACAACCAAGTGCACAGCCTCAAGCAGTACAAATACAGTAGACAGTCAGATGCAGAGAAAAGCCAAGCACAATACTAACCACCACAGCATAAATGAAAACAAATAAATAAAACGTTGACAGTCAAACAAGTCTTGTGTAAAACTGAAATGAACAACTTCTTTTGATTGCAGACTCAGGCCCTGACTAGAAACAGATGGTAAATCTGAAATGTAGAGAATAATTAATCAACCAAATATTGCCCTTTTTTTGTCCATTGCAGTTTTATTACCCAACAAACTATTGAATCTTCACACCAAAAAAGCTTATTGGACAATGAGGAGGTTACACCGATGTTTAGGAAAGGGCTATGATTAGCATCATTAGAGGTCACATAAAAGACATTACTGCCATTGAGTTTCCATTGACAACTAGCTATCAATTACATTGTTCTCATAAAACCAAAAAATACACCATACTTCCAAAGAATAATTCCTAAACTCACTGGAAAAATTACCTCATGACCCCATATGGACCTAAAGCCAACAATTTTTTGTAATTTTCTAAATTGAAGTGAAATATTTCGAAAGGCAAGTGTGCTTTGTAGTTGAAGAAATTGTTTTTACTAGGGATAGATTGTTATATATACAAATGATTGGTTGTATATAAGCTTTAATTTGTGCAATCCCATTATTATTATTATTATTATTATTATTATTATTATTATATAAATATCTATCTCTAATCTATAGCTTTAACCTTTTCAGCACCAAATTATTAGTATTAAATGATACTATATTTCAAACACAAAAATCCTTATAATTTATGAATGAGATATTAATGATTGGATTTTCTATTTGCATATTCTCCCTTTTGCCATCTCTTTATAGACTCCCGTAGCCCAGACAGTTCGTCTGTGTCCTCCCCTCCCTCAGGCCAGCGCTCGCCCTCGCTGGTTCCCTCATCCGCAGCTTCCATGACCTCCCTTCCTCCCATCAGCACCTCTGGGGTCGACAGCCCCATCAGTAGCATCGGCTCCCCCTTTTCTGTCATCAGCTCTTCATTGGGCTCCCCATGCCTACCTGGCACGCCATCAATAGGCTACGGCCCCATCAGCAGCCCACAGGTAAGAGAGGACTGTTGGAGGATATTAGTTAAACATACATACATGCAGTTGTTTTCCTGTTCCATTATAGACATCATCATAGAAATGTCAGAGGCCTGTACTACGAATACAGATTTTCGCTTAGCGAGGTAACTTCAGGGTTAACTCTGGGTTTCCGGTCCTACGAGGCTGGTTCATTTCTTACCGGGGTAGATCTCCATGGTAACTTATGCTGAATGGCAAACCTGCTCCGGACCAGGATAAGAGATCAACTCAGTGAAAGCACCGCCTGCTGACCAATCAGAGCTCAATGTGCAGAGTTTAAAGCTATCATGTCATATTGCAGGATAAAGGAAATACAGAAAAACTGCCGTTGCAGGAAAGACGGCCGGCAAAAATCAACTGACTGAACGTGAACATTAATAGAATATCACCTCCCATCTTCAGAGCAATCTGACTAATATAACATTAGCGTTAAGAAAGTTTACTTAAAGTGGACCTATCATGCTATATTTGAATAATATAGTGTAGGACCATACCTATATAAGGCATATTTATACTTTTTATTTTTCAAAATACCAAACAGATCATGCATTTTAGCCATTCCTCATTTCGCTCAATTTAACACTGTCTTTTCATGGCTGATTCTGTGAGAACAGCACCATCTACAGGCCTGGCATATTTACTACAGCGTCTCCAGCGCTTTCGAACGACAATTTCCGTGGCTGTCTCCTCCTGATTGGTGGAGTTGGCCCAATAGCCGTAGCGTCACTTCTGTGACGTCATAGAAGTGTTCAAATCTGGATCAGTCTGTATCAGATCCGTTGCAGAAGAGATTTGAGTATGGAGGAAAATAGAGAGGGTTGTGTTTTCTAACACTTGGTGAGTTCCCTGGAACACCGGGGACACATATTCATGTATAAAAGATGTACAAAAGTGCATTTTGCATGATAGGTCACCTTTAAATATCTGCCACAACATAAGCAACCGGATCAAAGTAACATTACGTCTGCGGCACTGTGAGTGCAGACGTTGAGGTGTCCCATTATCATTCATATCACATGATCATAATGTATCATATATTTCCCTATCTGAGTCAGCTTCTTGAGCCGTATCCAGTACAGGGCTCGAAATTAAGGACTGCCCGATGGCCCGGGGCCATCTAGTATTTAGCTCGGGCCATGAAGCCTCACCTGCTGGTTGCCCGATCGGGCAATCTATTATGCCAGTATCATGCAGCTCGCGGATCCAGTAATGAGTGACCCGACAGTAAAACTAAACATATCTATAACTAGTTACGATAGTTTGAGAGCTAATTAAAATAGCTACGTGTGATATTCTAACCTGAAGTGTGTGTTTTACCGCTGCATGTGATCCTGCAGAGCTGCGTGTCAACTTGTCAGCAGCAGCTGATCTGTCTCTCCCGGCAGATTAGACTTCACTCCCATTTATGTCCATATCGATCAGATCCAGCTAGTTCTAGCTAATGATAGGACTACCTGCTTATTAAAAGACACCTAAACAATAACCGTCGCTATGCAACTGGGTGAGGCCACAAAGTATAGCGCAGCATTATGCATTTGTTTACATGCCCACCGGAACCCCGAGGCATTACCAACAGATCAACGCACAATCAACCCATACAGGACATCTCTTTCTCCACATTAAGTGTTAGACATTAGAATTGACTATTATTGTCTGTCACATACTCTTCTTGTCTGTCACATAAGTGGCGCAACTGAAGCGGTATTGCGCTAAAGGGAAATTATTTTGACCGAAGAGATTTAGATTTGCCGGCTAACGGGAAATCTGACGTCGCCATTTTGTGTGCTTCGCGGATGCGCTCGGCTCCTCTCGACTGCTGCTCGGGTCTGCTCGGGTCACCTTCCGGATGAGGAGGCATTCCTTCGACCAACTTACAGTAGATAACATTACAAACATTTTTAACAGGGGCCATAATAGCGTAAATAATGTTTGTTTTGGCAGTTACAGCTGAAAGTAATGTTTTCTACTTTTTTACATCTGGGAAGGCATTTGCCTTCATCAGATGGAAAGTGTCTTGACCAACAACTTAAGTATTTCTTATAGCTATGCAGGACATGCAAGCGAGCAAACACAAACAAGAACAAACAAACAAGTGAAATGAAGAATAAAATTGAAATTCTACAATATAATATTGTGATGGTTCATCTTATAATTAAGTCTAGTGAATGCACCAGACAGCATCTACAGTAAGACCTGGAAAAATCTAAATGTTCTAGGGGAGGCCCCCCAAACCCTTCGTGCCATTTCGTCCACGCGCATTTTTCAGGGCAATCTCTATTGGGCTCAGGGCCATCTGTAAATTAGCTTAGATGGCCCACAAAATCCTTAATGTCATGCACTGCAGTGTCACACACTGTATGCAGAAGTATTATTTTAAGCAACACATTAAGTTGACGAAACACTCAAGTCAAATGTAATTAAAGTCAGATCCACTCGTGTCTTAGACGGGGCAGTGATATCATAAACCTGTTAATGTACTCATTCAAACACTTTTTCTTTTACCAGCTGCATTCACCTTGCAGGTGCAGCTATGTGGCTTTTATTACATTACATTACATGACATTACATGTCACTCGTTAGACGCTTTTATCCAAAGCGACTTTCATACTCAATACTGTGGACAATCCCCACAGGAGCAATTTGGGGTGAAGTGTCTTGCCCAGGGACACAACGACATGCTGATGGCAGTGGGGTTTGAACCTGTGACCCCCTGATCCCAACACCAAGGCTCTATGCACTGCACCACACGCCTCCTGGATAAAGTGTTTAAGTCGTGGATGTTTAAAGTTTAACGTCTTCATATTTGTCTAATATTATAAGATTACTTTTCATTCAGGAAGTATGATGCTGCGCTGTCAGTACGCTTGCCCATGTTTTTGATCGGTCAAATGTTACTAACCCCGCCCCTTTCATGTGAACGCGCACTCAGCCAGACAGAGAAACCCTGGCTTGAGTTACCGAGTTCATAACCAGCGTTGTAGGACCGCTTAGCAAGATCGCGTTTGTTTTGGGTTAGTTAACTCAAACATATCCAGGGTATGTTGAACTGGATTCCTAGTACACGCCTCAGGAGCGATCTGGCCAAACTGTTTCGTATTTGTGTTGACCTTTTCCTCTGTCATTCTTTCAGATAAATTCAACAGTGTCCATGTCAGGGCTTCATGCAGTGAGCAGCTCAGATGATGTGAAACCTCCGTTCGGATTGAATCAGATGTCGCCCCAAAGCCCAGGGCCGATGCTTTCCCAGAAACGCCTTTGTGCCATCTGCGGAGACAGATCATCCGGTGAATAGACTAGTTCAATTGTTATCTTCTTTGCCTTGCATTGTCTTCTTTGTCTACAAATTAGAAGATGTAAGGGCCTGAGATCCTTTATCAGTTCTCAAACAAGTTGTCCTCGCTATTGTCTTACTTCTTTGGTGCTTTTCCTCCCTCCTTCCCTCATCCTCTAGGTAAGCACTATGGTGTCTACAGCTGTGAGGGCTGTAAAGGCTTCTTCAAGCGCACAGTGCGCAAAGACTTGAGCTACACCTGTCGCGACTGTAAAGACTGTTTGGTCGATAAGAGACAGAGGAACCGCTGCCAGTACTGCCGCTACCAGAAGTGCCTGGCCATGGGCATGAAGAGAGAAGGTAAGAGAGCAGAGGCACTTCGAACACCCTGTTCATGGCCGGTGCTCAGCCCCTTCTGCTCATGACCCCTACAAATGAGGTCATTACACCTTTCCACGGACACAATTTTAGGTTTAAATGCACTACACTGTGTGTTTGCAAATAAATTATGATAAAAAAACGTTGGTTTTAAAGTTGTATTTGATATTGATGATAGTTATTTAGCTGACAGAAATGTCTTCGAAAGGTTTCTTAACTTTGCTGTGGTGAAGTTGTTTTGGATAAACGGATGAACCACAGAATCTAATACGCCACATCTTGTTAAAGAGGATCCAATAGTAGTTTTGGGGGAGGGGCATATATGAAAAGCTCCTACTCTAATACACACATATTTGGTTTAGTTTCCCAGTGGCAAGTTTGATCTTCAGGTCTTTTGCTACTAATAAAAAGCCCACTATTCCTTTTCCTCATAAGAAAATCTGACGTTTTGCAAACTTTTCTTTCAAACTATTTTTCCCAACTCAGGGGCTTGCTCGATAAAACTTAAAATCGTACTGCAGGACACGCCAGTAGGGTTTCTTTCAGATGTGTTTTGAGAAGTCTTCTTTTGCCTAAAGCTGAGGGACACAACTACCGGATCCTTGGTGGCCCTCAGTGTGCAGTAAACTATGAAATGCCTGTCCCTTATACATAACGAAATAATAATTAGAAATATAAAAAAATATTAGAGTTTATTCTAATTGAATTAAGAAATTAAGTGCAGAATAAATAAATAAAAAGGTAAATAAATACTCCAATTATTTGAGCTATCATTTGAGTTCTTAGTGCACCTTTTATTGTCCACCATTATCACACAGAGAGAGCCCTGTCCTGTGCTTTGTTTATTCTGGGGAAATGGAGCCTGGAGGTTGGACAAGCTTGTGAAATGAGGGTTGCCAGTTGGAGTCAAGTTTGTTGATTACATTGAACTGAACAGTAAATTAATTATCAAAAACAAAAGGACAGTCCTGAAAATAGTTCCCCTTGAGATACTTGAGATTTTCTTGATTTATGTCTTCCTCACAATTTGATTCCATTAAAAGACGATAAATTATCATATTGAAATATCGGCCAGCGCTACTTTAAAACTCCTATCACAATCTAAGAGTTGTCCACTCCATAACCCCATAATTAAATATGCGTTGTGACAGTGCCCGTGAATTTATATAGCTCCTTTTCATTCATGCTCATAGCGCTTTATGCTGAAAAGAAAGTAGGCACAAACTGCAAAGATCTGTCGGGCGCTGTCGGTACGAGCCAACTGTAGCTTTCTTATATTACATCATTTTATTAGGAATAGATCCCCTAGCAAATGACAGGGCTACTTTTATTTTAGCTTGACAATAAGTCAGTATTATTTTGTGCATTGAAAGAACGAGTACAGAGTGATAGAGAGGGAGATAAGGGTGGGTAAGCCTTGCAAAAACTAACCCCCTTTCCCCCTCTCTTCCTCTTTTTGTTTCCTCTCGTTCTCTCTCTCCCCCCCTCCCTCCTTCTGTAGTGGCCAAGATGAACGACAGATGTAAGGAGAAGAGGGAGGGAGGGGCGTGTGTCTGTCTGTATGAGTGAGCAAGAAGCAGAGAGATTTTACATCTATGAAAAGGAGCTAGTTTAAAAGGTCTTTCCAGACTTTGTTGCCAGTTTTCAAAGAAATCCCTTCCCTTATTGTTTTAAAAACCGTTTACAGAGGCAGTGACAGTTGCTTAGAATGCATACTCTTTTTATTCGTCATCCTCCTTTACCCTAAATCAGTCTTTCTCAAACTTTTTCATACCAAGGACCACTTAACCAATAAAAAAACACTCGCAGACCACCTAACTCCACAAATATCCAAAAACACATCGTTTTTCTAGAACAGATTACAAATCGCCTGAAAATTGTACAAAGAAGTGGCGACATGTTTGACGAAGGTGTTGCGCTGGGCTATATCATGCAACTGAAAGTGAAAATTAAGCTCGCTCCATTGCGGAGATATTCCCGCGAGAGTGCGGAAAACTTAAATTAATTAATTTCAAATGTGAAATGTTACCAATATACTCACGGACCACTAGGGGGTGCTCACGGACCACCAGTGATCCGCGGACCACACTTTGAGAAGCACTGCCCTAAATCTACTACTGTCCATGAGCCTTATCCTTCTTATGTATGGATATTTAAATGCTTGTAGAGGAAGGATAGATGTTCATTTAATTTCTCATCCATCAAGATGTGTTGTCTTATAAAGAGGCAGCTTTCCGGGACAATTCTACTTCTCAAAACGACTGGCTCGCCTTTTGTTTCCTTTCTTAATACAGACACACTGACCAATGCAGGATGACAGTGGTATCAAGTGTAATAATATAAAGTCATTGCTTTGCTCTGCTCATACATACAGGATTCAGGACACATTGATAATCAGTGAATCATCAGAATAATAGTGCATGTTTCGTAATGAAGTCACTTTAAATAGATTTTCCCTATCAAGATAGGTTTGCTGCTATTTGTACAAATCACCAAAACACTAAACATAGCACATGTCTTTACAAAGCTCTCTGGAAGATAATACAGTACCTTAATGACTTATTTGACATTTAGAAATGATTCCCCATGTAAGCTGCAACTACCAGCTTGGATTGTTTAAGGGAGTTCACATTGGTATTTTTAAGTAGTGCAACCATGGGAAAGTTCTTCACTGACCTGGCAAGTCACATAACCTGAGTCTCTGTCTACTGATGTGTGTGGGTGGTTGACTTTAAAAAACACATATTTTTTCAAAATAATAAATAGGATGACATATTGAATTCCTCCAAATCTTCTTTGATCACCTGAAAAGCTGTACTGTATATCAAAAGATCCTATGCAGTTAACCAGAAATGGATAAACTCTTCGTCCATAATTTGTCAAATGATTGGTTCAACAAAACTTCAAAATGGGGGGGTTTATACATTGGAGGTATATGCACTTAAATAGAACTGATTGCTCTTGCCTTTTTACAGCAACCTTCTTTCTTGAACTTCATGAACAGAAAAACTGTCCTCTTAATCTGTGTAACGGATTAAGGAAATACACTTATTTATTAAAAAAAAAAGGTTTCCTTTTTGGCAAAATTCCCACTTTAAGATTGTTAGTCCCTCCTGAATGTTGCTGTAAATATCTTTACATCCATATTGGTAGTGGGCCTGAAAGAAGTATGAAAGATAGCATGAGAGACTTATTATGAATTATATATATTTCTATTTTGTTTCACTCGTTTCCACATCTATGTTGTTCTGGTCTTGCACTTTTACTTCCCTCTGTCCTTTTTGTATGCAACTTCTTCATCGTCATGTTCGTACCTCTCTCTTTCTCCATTCGGTTGTCTGGTGGCACATTCTACTTATCCTTCGGTCATTTCCTCTTCAACTGCTTTTATTTTCATTTTTGCTGCGTTCTTCTTGTTGTCTCTAATTATGCTCTAATCTATCTTCCTCCATTCCTTCACCTTTGTACCATTCCTGCTCCTTCATTATTTCCTATTGACCTGCATTCGCCCATCCTTCCCACCAACATTTACTCTGATCATCCTATTCTTCCTCCCTTTTCTTGTCCTTCATTGTTTTCTTCTGTGCTCCTCTCCCTCCACCCCTGCAGCTGTCCAAGAGGAACGGCAGAGGAACAGGGAACGAGAAGGCGAGGTGGAGTCGACTAGCGTGGTGAACGAGGAGATGCCGGTGGAGAAGATTTTGGAAGCGGAGGTGGCTATAGAGCAGAAGACGGAGCTTCATGCTGATGGAAGTTCAGGTGGCAGCTCTGTGAGTAGTCTGAATGGTGGAAATGAACCACAAAATGCATCCATTTGAGGGGCTTTCTGCAAAATTCGTAATGACTGTTAATTCAAATATTTGATGATTTTCAGTTTATATTTGTAGTTCAAAGATGAAATAATTCCCAAACTCTAAATCTGCTTTCTTCAGCCCAACGATCCAGTGACCAACATCTGTCAGGCCGCAGACAAGCAGCTCTTCACCCTGGTGGAGTGGGCTAAGAGGATCCCTCACTTCTCTGAGCTGGCCCTGGACGACCAGGTCATCCTGCTGCGGGCAGGTGGGTCTCCCTCAACAAGGGTTCATGGATCAATAGGGATTCAAAAGAAAAGAAAATCATGTTTTCATATTTTCCAATTCAACAAAGCAGTGTCAACAGTACAGGGAACATGTATAAAGAAAATAAATAGGGGGGGAAAAAACAATGTAATGGTTGCGTTACAAAACAACAATTACTGCGGGGTTTTGTGCTCCTCCATCAAATTGTTCTTTAATACCACTGTGATTCCTTATAGCAGTTGGTCTGAGTAATTTTGGTTAATGACCTTAAAAACATTAGACAATGTTAGAGAAACACTGCTTTTGTAATGTAAATCCAATATTTTCCATTTAAAAACGGATTAAGTAGTAAACCCTGTATTGTTATATGTTATTTATATATATATATTTATATACATATTACATTACATTACATTGCATTTAGCTGACGCTTTTATCCAAAGCGACTTACAGTAAGTACATTCGACCAGGAAGATACAACCTTGAAGAAAACAGAATCATATAAGTACATCAGGTTTCATAGAGCCAAACATTTCAAGTGCTACTCAACTGGCTTTAGATAAGCCAGCCCTTTATCAGTATATAAGTGCTTTGTTAGTAATTGAATCGCTCGAAGTGGAGTCTAAAGAGATGAGTTTTCAGTCTGCGCCGGAAGATGTGTAAGCTTTCTGCTGTCCTGATTTCCATGGGGAGCTCATTCCACCATTTTGGAGCCAGGATAGCACGAGTTTTTGCTGATGGGAACTTGGGTCCCCCTCGCAGTGCGGGTGCAGCGAGCTGTTTGGCTGATGCAGAGCGGAGTGCACGTGCTGGGGTGTACGGTTTAACCATGTCCTGGATGTAGGAAGGGCCAGATCCGCAAGTACCAGTGTCTTGAAGTGGATTCTAGCAGTTACTGGATGCCAGTGAAGGGAGCGGAGGAGCGGCGTGGTGTGGGAGAATTTAGGAAGGTTGAAGACCAGACGAGCCGCTGCATTCTGGATTAGCTGCAGAGGTCGGATGGCACATGCAGGTAGACCAGCCAGGAGGGAGTTGCAGTATTCTAGGCGTGAGATGACGAGAGCCTGGACCAGAACCTGCGCTGATTTCTGGGTCAGCTGGGGACGTATCCTCCTGATGTTGTAAAGCGTGTATCTGCAGCAGCGGGTTGTAGCAGCAATGTTTGCAGTGAAGGACAGTTTGTTATCTAGGATCACACCCAGATTCCTTGCAGTCTGAGTATTATAAGGAATCATTCTGTACATTTTCATTGTTATGCGGATGATACTCAACTATATTTATCAATCAAGCCTGATGAAATTAATCATTAATCATTAATTAATCATCCCGAACCCAATAAAATACCCAATATTAACGGTGTGTGTGTCTGCCCAAGGACAATTTAAGGTAAAACCTAATAGAGGTGTCATACATAATAACCTAATAAAAGTAAATGTAACAACTACTACAGTGCAACAAAACAGGAAGATTAACTAGAGATCTTATGTTTAAGAGACCACATTTAATCTTCCTGTTTTGTTGCACTGTAGTAGTTGTTACATTTACTTTTATTAGGTTATTATGTATGACACCTCTATTAGGTTTTACCTTAAATTGTCCTTNGACGAAATGACGCACGAAGGGTTTGGGGGGCCTCCCCCTAGAACATTTAGATTTTTGCAGGTCTTAGATGCTGTCTGGTGCATTCTCCAGACTGAATTATAAGATG